GGTGCTAAATACAAAAATAAAACTTGTTTGCCGGCAGACAGTGGTTTTACAGAAGGATTTTTTGTCCTGACTTCCTAACACAAAAGGGAAAGGTGACAAACACGAATGGTAAAAAAACAACCCTACAGAGTGTGGAGCCGGTCGGTAAAGCGCTGGCCAGGTAACGCCGGAGGAAGCCGCGGCAGCCTGGGCGACGTCTCCACTCCCGAGGGTCCCCATGGGTAAATCCTCCTCCGAGGTTGGCCCCAGAGGTGGCAAAACCAGAACACCAGGCAGACAGACCACGGCTTGCTTGGAGGTTCAGAAATCCTGGATCCACGATTAAAAATCCCGCTCATTCAAAATGGAAGAGGATTTCAGGACAAAAAGAGAGGCAATGATTCACTTTCTTTGCTAGTTGACTTTATTGGTGTTAATTTAGCACGTTCCCAGGAGGCAAGGCGGTGTCAGAAATCATTTTATTTTCCTCTCCAGGGCCAGACTATCGTGCAGCTTGGACACCTCTGGCTCGTAGGCCTCCATCACCAACGTCCCGTTGTTATCGAAGAATTTCGCGATGGATTTGGTGAACTCGGCTTCCCTCTGCTGTTTGGTTTTCCCGCTGATGAAAGTCAGCTTCAGGGTGTACTTGTCATCAAACCTGCAGGAAGGGCAGAGAGATTTCAGAGCAGGATTTGTTAAGCCTGGCTCAGCTGAGACACCAACGAGAAGCCGACAAGAAATCCTTGTCTTTAAGGGGAAACCCCCCAGGAGTGGAGGTCCCCACACACACAGTACCTCACGTGGACACTGACAGCTGCAACGCGCTGGCGTTAATTATAACAACACAATTAAAGATTATAAAAGATATTATATAAAGATCTATGCCCTTTGTGATTAATTTCCCCCTCCCCATTTAAAGAGAAGCGAAACGTGAACTTTTGTGGCAGATAACTGCATGGCACCGCTCCCATTTCTAGATGGGGGGGCGGGGGGGTATCGATTTTGACAGAGTGAAACAGATTTGTAGGTATAAAAATAAAGGAAAATATTTAGGATGATCCTACGGAGAGCTAGGGATGGAAGCGGTGCAGAGAGCCCATGGCAGATCACTGTTACTTCAGAGTAATAATATTCTGCGGTGAATATTCATCACAAGTTGCCTGGGAAGCCGCAAAGATCACGACACGGCAGATCGCGCAGAAAGCTCGCGTCCCCGGGGCAGAGACACCAATATTTTCCCCCATTTTGAGTTATCCGAAACGCAGCCTTTCTGCCCTGCCATGGAGCTACAGGCGGAGGCAGCACAGGCGAACCGAAGGCGTGCCGGTACCGTGCCGCTGCGCTCCCGCTCGCTAAGCCCAGGCTGCCGGAGCAACGATACCGTTTGAGACTGGAGGAGAGCTGCCAAACGTCGTCGGGGTCCATCCCCGCGGGGTCTTTTCTGTGAGCTACAAGGAAAATACTCTTTTCTTTGTATGAGGTATAGATAGTCAGGATTCCCATCATCACAAAATATGTGCAAAAAAAGTTAAGGAAACTAAGAAGTTGCAATTAGAAGTGGAAATTAGGCAGAGGAATTGCTTGGGTCCCCTCAGACATCGTCATTTAACCACTTCTCACGACATTATAATCCCCAACAGGACGCTTGGGTGATGCCTTGTTAGCAGGAGAAATTAATTAATTATTTGGATACTTTCTTAAATCTTTGCCATTGCACACGAGCATTAATCAACGTCTGGAAGCGGTGGGGAAAGCGACAACTCACTAACATGCTTTCCTGAAAGGGATTTCTCCAGCCACATAAAATGCTTTGTTTGTGAAACAATGAGGTGAAGCGGAAATCACAGCAACAAAATACTGTTTTCTATTACTTTGCTAAATTTTGGGAGCAACATCTGCTGGGAGATAGTGGGAAAACATGAGACCAAACGAGCCACAGAATTATTGCTGTGCAGTCCTCCTAAGCACAGACCAAGCAATTAATCTTTCTCATTTTTAGAATTAACTAATTTTAAGTGCCGCGAGACGAATTAGCTCAACATTCATGCTGAAAGCCAACCAGAAGAACAGTAGCCTGGGAAAACAAAATGACTTGCCCAAGATCATGCAGCCCTTAGCGGTACAGCAACTCCCAGGCCAGCAATAAGCTTCCAGGCAACCAGTTCACGCCGCGTCGCTGGTACCATCAAAACCACCCTTGAAAGCGAGCCCGTCGGCAGCGCTTGGAAAGCGCCGCTCATCTGCCACGTACATTTAGGTTGTAAAAACTCCACAGGCGTCTTATCTTGCTCAAGGAGCTGCAGGGAAATCAGTGCCACGCTCACCCTCTGAGCCCAAACAGACAAAAAACCCCAGCTGACCTGTGATACTGGAAATCTTACAGTTGACTTTGAAACGGAGTTGACATCTAAACATTTAAACCTCCATTTGTAGCACTACCCTCCTAAATGCAGGGTCTGCTCCTCTTTGGCAGAGGTGCTGGCAAGGACTACGTCCATTTTGCTCTTTGCTCTTGGCACCTGACCTGTCATATTAGGAATGAGCAGACAGAATCATGGAATAGTTTGGGTGGGAAAGGACCTTTCAAGGTCATCTTGTCCAACCCCCTGCCACAGGACAGATGTCCCCTGAAGGGACATCTTCAACTAGAGCAGGTTGCTCAGAGCCCCATCCAACCTGACCTGGAATGTTTCCAGCGATGATGTCTGTGTCCTTGCCATCCAGAGGGACCTGGACAAGCTCCAG